CAACTTGTTTATTCACTATGAAGCTAACATAGTTTGGCTGTTCAATAAAATAATACAATTTGAGTTGCATGGGTTAATATATTATTCTCTTTTATTTAATAAATTAAGAGTGTTACTTTACACAGAAGAAAAGGTCTAGAGGGAGATGATTGAGAAAAGGAGGAGTTATTAATAGACAAGATGGGTGGAGAGGACCAGAAAATGACGGAAAAACATTTTAAAATATTTCAACTCTACCAAATAATAAATATTTAATTATATTTCCAATTTATTTCTCTTTTCTTATTCTATTTCTTTTTTATTTTTTTCTTTTCAAATATTTTTCTAAATATAACAAGTGAATAAAATCATAATATAAATTATAAAAAAATAAATGAAATAAAAATAACATTAATTTTTATTTTATTTTACAAAACACCATCCCAGCAAAGTTAATTGTTTGTTTGGATTTAGACATGAAAAGACAAATACCGACAATTTGTTATAAAAGTAAAAAAATATTTAACTTTTATTATTCTTTGTACCAAAAAAATAATTTTTTAATATTTTATATATTACAATAATAAATAATTAAATAAAAAATATAAAAATAAATTTATTTATTTATTTAAAATTAATAAAATAATAATATTTTAATTAATCCTATTAATCTTATCTTTTATAATTTTAATTTTTTACTTTTTCATTTTTTTTACTCTCGTATACAATTTTTCAATTCCATCAGTCACATCGAGTTAGAACATTGGGATAAGCAACAAGACAGACAGAAAATAATTATTAAATTAGAAATAAGGAGGAATATGTTACTGTTTTCCTTTTCGTGGTTTTCCTTTTCTAAAGATGTTTCCTTGCAAACTTTCAACTTAGAATTTGAAAGATAAGGCCTTGAAGTGCTTAAAATTTGCAATGACGAAACAGACTGAGTTTATAAAAGTACACAAAGGAAGAATAGTATAAAAAGAACATGAAAGTTTACTAACTTCTAAATTGCACAAGGATGGCTACACACTTACTGTGCTGGGGTTTTTCTAAAAGCTTGTCAGAATCAACGTGATACGTCAAAACAGATGGAAAGTGTTCGCATCATCTCATTGTATGTGGATGATATTCTTGTAATATGAAAAAACTTAAAGTCTTATGGAGAAATTTAAGAAAGAGACAATGAAGTGTTTGAGATGACAAATTAGTTTAATAACCTTAAGAAATCAAACATGTACAACTTGCAGTGTTCATCTGTGAATAGAAATATGCCAACGAGATTTTGAAGAATCTAAAAATAGGCACTCTTTTGAATTAACAGGATATGTTTTATAAAGAAAATGGCACATTTCAATATTTTTATTAAGAGAAGAGCAGAAAAATATATTTGTTACTTTTATTTACTAAAACAGAAAATCAAGTTTTAGATGTTTTCACCGTGTCACTACTTCTTAATAAGTTGAAGTTTTTCATACATAATATTGGAGTATGCAATCCTTAAAACAAGGACTAGTGTTTAAATATTTGTTTTATATATTGCATGTGACTTTTGTTTATTTTTGTGGAAGTTTGATAAGTAAATAAATTCATAATAATATGATAATTTTATTTGATGAATAAGACATTTACCTATTACTTTTACTAAAGAGTTACTATATTAGTTATTTATAATTATATATTTTAATTTTTTTTCCTACTATAATTCCAACAAAAATCTTCCAATAGTTACAATTCAAGTTGTGTTTTTCTTTTTTATAATATAGGTGTCATTTTTAATTTTTGTTTTATTAGAGGAGGTATTTGAAGATGGGTTGACTCTCTTGACTTTTATTTAAACGATGTCGACTTATATTCAAATGTTGAAGAAGTGTTCAAACAAAAAAAAAAAATTGACGAAGTAAAATGTTTCTAGCATGAGCACAAAACATATTTGACAAGTGTCATGTTCGAGCAGTGTCTGACATGAAGAAGGGTTTGTACTTTATCCTAGAATTTCATACTCCAATGTGAAACTCATGGTTGCTTCAACAAAAACTCAAGCACTTGGAGCAGGTGTACTATACTCAATACTCAAACCTGTAGGGACGAATTCGAGCCACTAATCCAGATAATCAAATGAGAAATGGGCCAGTGTTTGAATTCAATGGCCACAAGCATTATTAAGCACATCATGACCCAGCGACAAATGTGCTTTTCAGTATATAAAAATATTTAAAGGGAAAACGTTATCTAAAAAGAAAAAGTTAGATCTCTGAGCAATACGAGCTTTTTCTTATCTGTGCCTTGTGAACTATTTCTCAGGATGAAAATCCAAACCAACGATCTTAAGTACATTTTCCGTTGCAAGACATCACTCCATAAGATCCACCTTCATTTGCTAGCCTATAACAACATGGATCATCAGCTGCTACAGGTAGTTGCACTGCTGACAGTGATAGCATTTGGAGGCAGGAGTTGGACTATAGAAGCCTGCAGCCACATTGACTTGGAAGCTTTGCTGAGTTTCAAGAATGCAATTCACAAGGACGAATCTGGTCGCTTAGCTAAGTGGATTGGTGAGAGCTGCTGCAAGTGGGAAGGTATTGTCTGTGAAAATGCAACCACTAGAGTTATACAGATCAATCTTCCAGGATTCATTTCCACAGACACAGATTTATTTCAAACACAAATGATAGGGCGGATTTCTCCTTCCATAACACTCCTCACCTCCCTTGAAATCATTGATCTTGGTGGTTTAGTTGGTCTTAGTGGAGCTATTCCACATACCATTGGTTTGAACCTGCCAAAGCTCCAAAAGCTCTACCTTTATGGGAACAATTTAACTGGTTCAATACCAGAAAGCATTGGACAGTTGCCAAACCTCCAAGAACTAGCTCTGCAGGAAAATCGGCTATCGGGGTTCATCCCTATGAGCCTTGGAAACCTTAAAAGTCTCAAGAGGTTGCTGCTTTATTCAAATAAATTTTCAGGTATAATATCAGACTCACTTGGGAATTTGATAAATTTGGTAGAATTGGATGCTCATGACAATGCCCTTGTGGGTAATATACCCAATAGTGTTGGTGAGATGAAGGCTTTGGAAAAGCTTGATCTTTCAAACAATTTGCTAAGCGGGAAGATACCTTCTTCATTAACTAATTTAACTGCCATTTCAGTTTTGTATCTGAACACCAACTATTTTGAGGGAAGCATACCATTTCCTTCAAGATCTGGTGAAATGTCTTCTCTGGGCTTCTTAAGACTCCATAATAATCTCCTTGTTGGAAGTATACCTGCCAATATTGGCTATTTGGTATCTCTTCAAAGAGTTTCACTATCAAACAACAAACTTGAAGGAGCACTGCCATCTAGTGTAGGCAATTTGGTATCACTGACTGAGTTATATCTCAGTGGTAACTTCTTATCTAATCAAATACCAAAATCAGTAGGCCAACTTTCTCGGCTCATAATGTTGAACATCTCTAGAAACTTGATTGAAGGGCCATTACCTCAAGAGATGTCTTCCCTTCAAAATCTTCAAACACTTGATCTTTCTTTCAACCATCTGAATCTCTCAGCCATTCCAAAATGGATGGCAAACATGTCATCAATTTCCAACATATACTTTGCTGGTTGTGGAATCCAGGGCCAAATTCCAGATTTTCTCCAAACAACCAATAGTCCAATACAGGAACTGGACTTGTCAGTTAATCTTCTCAGTGGAAGCATACCACCATGGATAGGAAGCCTCAGTCGACTCTACTTGTTAAATCTCTCAAGGAACTATCTTTATTCAGACATCCCTGATTCTTTTAGAAATTTGCAAGATCTAGGTGTCCTTGATCTTCACTCAAATAAACTAACAGGCTCCATAGCTCCAGTATTTGATATAGAACAAGGTATGTTCGGGGGTTCACTGAAATTTGTTGATCTTTCTGAAAACAACTTCTCAAGTGGAATGGAGAAAATTGGTGGAGGGGAATGTAGTACTCAGTTTGTGAATTTGTCTCATAACCATCTGGAAGGTAGGATACCAAATTCAATTGGGAGATTGAATTCACTTTACAGTTTGGATTTGAGCTTCAACGAATTAGGCTCCAATTTGCCAGAAGTGCTGGCAAATTTAACCGCATTGGAGATATTGAAGCTACAGGAAAATCACTTCACTGGTAAAATTCCAAACGAATATCTCAAGTTGTTGAAGCTGAAGGAACTAAACGTATCTAACAATGATCTTGAAGGGAAAATTCCAGAGGGCAAACCTTTGATTGATTTTCCTGAGAGTTCATATTCTGGAAACAAAGGGTTATGTGGAAAGCCTCTCGGTCCTTGTAAACTTTGAAAATTGTCAAGTGTAGTGCAACTTAAAGCTACTCTGGCCATCATTCAGAAACATGATTTTTGCTTGATGCAAAACCAAATAACTAAGCATTCAAATATTTCACTAGGAAAAGAATAAATAAATCTCTTATTTTCATTCATTCTTCAAGTTTTTTATTTAGAAATAGAAACTTAAGACAAGGATTGGATTTTCTGTGTGATCTGTAGAGCATAGAACAGACAGTTTAAAATCCCGAATTCACGGTATATTTTTTAGAGTATCTCATTCCTAATACATAAGAAATGTTATGTTTAAAGTTAGAAGCCAATCATGAAAGTATTCTAATTATTAATGCAATTATTGATTCAACTAATCCCCAACAAACCCTTAATTCGAAATCAAACATTGGATATTTTGCTCTGGGTAGGCTTCGAATCCCTCTAACCAAGAAAAAAATAACAATTTTCTCACCTGCTCCATTTAACTACTGTGTAGTGTACATAGCCCATGAAGCATAATTAACATTAAAATTATATAGCAGTTACTACTAGCTGAATTACCTTTGCCCTCACACCAGAGAAAAAGAAGATTTTCTTCATCAGAACTCACACTTAAATTGATTTAGTTTCCTTGTTAGAATAAATTTGTTTGCATATGGAGACTATGGACCCTCTTGTCGTTATTTAAATAGGTGTAGTAGGTCCATATATGAATTGTTGTGTCAATGACCTTTGCTTTGAGCCTGATCTGGCCGCCACTATAGAAGTATGCCATAAATTCCCATCATCAAAATGACTATTACTGATCATAAAAATTGTTAACAAATGTTTTGCACGTATATTATTGGAGGGAATCCTCAGTTAGCCCCAGTTGCTGGTAATTCATATAATCTATACTGTTTAGCCTAATACAACACAAAACCTGCTCTGGCAGCTCCTCGGCTTTGTTCCCCTGAATTGTGATGCAAATATGGGGGGAAATATTAGTAATTAAGTGGAAAATAAGCAGAAAATACATTTGATTTTGACGATAGAAAAACTACTTGCCTGAATAGTTAGACCAACATCTAGAATGCAGTTCTTTAATCTGTCCAAGAAACCATCGAAACCTTTCCTGGAAATATAACTGAACCTATGCATGTCTAAATCAAACTCAAAGTAATTTTCTCCCTGCCACAAATATCATAGTAGTTAGTTTTTTCAAAATATTAGGAAATAAAGCACTGCATGTGCATATTAGTTGTCTTGCAAATGAAATGACACCATCATAAATTGAGGTCCAGAGATATAGGTATCATAAAGACAAAACCAAAATGTACTTCATCAAATACATTAGTAGAAGTAGTCCAGAGAAAATGGGAATTTTATGTCCACTTCTAAGTCTAACTAGTGATTCACAGTAACTTTTCTTGATTGATGATCGTGTTTGAAAATTAACCGCTTTATGAGACAATTTTTATCAATAATAACAAAAACCAGAAAGCATTCACTGGAGATATAAAAGGTGTTATTATTAAGAGATCGTACGAGTTAATGGAAATATGAGAAGCATCATGGGTCTATGAAAAAAACTATTATAGATAAATTTCAGGTATTGCTCATTCTCAGAATTAGGTATAGGTATATTAAAAGAAACCATTATAACAGGCATTGAAGCTTACTGAGTAAAACTCATGTTGTGGACGTGAGAGAAAAGGTTTCTCATTGTAAGACTGTAAAAGCTTCCGTTCTGCTGCACTTAAATGAAGATCTTCTGGGTTGACAATACGACCTAAAATTTTCAATCTTTCCCTGAAGGGGACAATTGCATCTCCTAAAAAAGTCTTTACTGTTTCAACATCATCGTCCATCAACTTCTGTAGAAAGGCGTGAAATCGATGTTACTTCATCACATCATAAACAATGTCTTCAACATCCCACAATTACACTTTGGCAGAATTTACATAGCGATATTAAGTGACAAATTAACTACATTAAGGGCCCATCTTACTCTGATGTTTTCTTGAAAATTCAATGGAAGATCTTTGGAGTAGCTTTCAGAAAGTTTAAAGTAAATCACAAAACTCATTCCTTCCCCATCAGTTTCACCTTGAAAAAGTGAGGGAGGGTAAATAGGAATCTGAAGTTCACAAAATAAGAGTATAAGAGTATGCACACACAAAATTAGAAAAATAAATTAATTTCTATACACTTTCAGTGTAAAACATATTAACACGGAAATCCAATATGAATTCACTTTATCACCAGATCATATTAATAAATATAATGATGCAGCTAAACGATCAATACTTATTGGATGTTCACATAACACAAAATTTTTAATTTTCCAAATGGAAATTCTTATATAAAACCTAAAAGAGCTTTTTGACTTTTCTGTTGACAACGTATCTAGCAATCCACAGTTACTACTAGAACAATTCTAAGCAAGAAGGGTAAAAGGATAACTATATTCTAGAAGAAAAATATGAATACCTGAACATTTACTACTAGTATGGCTGGAAGTTTCCCATAAGGACTCGCCACAGGAAGTTCCACAAACCTAGCTATATGGTCTATTTTCCGTGGGGACAAAAATACATCAACGCCAAATGGGTAATATGCAGAACAGTTTGGAGCAAATTCTTTCTTCTTGTCCCTGTCATAAATATGATTGTTTTTTCCAAGTCAAACACAATTCTGTCTATGGATATGTAGGTTAAAGTATAAATTTGTAATCTAAATCAAGGCATTTGTGTACATAATTATGTATGCTTGAAACAAATTACAAACAGAATCATAATCTTACTTCAAATAATTTGCTCCTCGAACTTTAAAAGTGCAGGGGTCAATATACGACCAACAATCAAGCATTTTCTTCTCAATTGGACAAAAGGGTACCTGAGAACCAGCTAGTGGTCTATGTAGAAGTGTCTTCGAAGAAACTAAAAACCATAACAAGAAAGAAAAAAATAAGGATATACACTCATTGTTGCATAATAAGATGCATTCTGCTTCGAGAACTTGAACTCACATAGAGTAGCACTTCCACTCCATTTAAAAGAATGTTTTGTAGTATTCCTCTTCCTTGTATCAGGACTAGTACACAATGATCTCTGATCAATTGATGAAAGACATGACAAACAATTGTTTGGAAGAATGCCGCATCCGTCCAAATCTTCATCATCCCTTTTGGATCTCGCATCCACTATAGAGACTTCATCAAGAAAAACATGTTCGTTTGCTTCATTTATATTTCCCTTTCGCTTATATTTAGAATCCGTGACACCTACATTATAAGACTCAGCCTCTGAATTTGTGACACCTTCAGAGTTATGTGCAGAATGCCCATTTGATAGCTCCCCTGTTTTATGCACCTGATCAGTTGAAACTCTATGGTTGGATTGAGTTCCATTTAGATATATAAAATCTGCATAAATCAATTGTATATCATATATCGGCAAAGGTTATCATATATAATGCATTAAAGTGATAGTAACTAACACATTTTAAAAAAATTGAAATATCCAAAATCCTACCATCAGGAACACTTTGGTAATCATCATCACAGTCCGAGTCAAGCACTTCAAGAGAATCAAACCATGCTTCCTCAACAGTCCCATCTGCCATACAAATTAAAAATGGGAGGAATACGGGTTTCAGGAAATAGTTTTTGACACAAGCTAATTTAATAGATCTACACGGTGAGAAAACTAAAGTAAAATCCATTGAAATAGATATCCACTAATTAGCTCGGTTCCCATTTACAAATTTACATTCAAAAACTTCTTCTGGGGGTAAAACTATCAGTGAAGAAAAGGGTAAATCCCACAACCATGTTTAGTTTACAATTAAACTTAACACCTACCTTAGGGAAGAAAATATTAGTTTAATCCTGTATATAACTAAGCTGGGATCCTTCTGCCATAGCACAAGCACCAATTCTTACATCATCTAGGCTCTGATTTGTTAATGAAAACTGATTCAGTATGTCTCAGTTTTAACTTCAATTTTATCCATATGATCTAATCCCACCACAGCCTCCCAGACAATCAGAACTTAAAAATTAAAACCAAACACAATTGCTGAAAACTTCTAATCTCAAGAGGCAAATATGCACCAATTATTAAAATCTGTCTACTCTAGTTATTCAAGGTTTGTTTGAACCTCAGTTTAGATCCATGTTGGATGTCAATCCAACTATTTTACTCAGTCGGGTTCGATTGCTTTAGAATATGTGAAAACGTAAAACTAAACACTCACTAAACCATTATCCCTGTTAAAACATCAACAGTTATCTCAGCTTTTCACATGGCATAACCATTCCAATACGTGCTTACATTACAACATTTCCTAACAAAAGCATAAAACCAAATTGCAAAATGTAAAATGCAACAGTAAAACATAACACAAACGGCAAATCACTCTCCAAAAGAAGATAAAAACAAAGCCAATTCAGAGACATGCATGATAAAAATATGAACCTTGGGAAATGGGGTTGGCAAAGGAGCGATCAGACAAGTCAGGCTCAGGCATATTATCAACCTTGTTCAATGATACAGTGGATAACTGAGAAGACACTCTTTTTCTGCGTCCACCTTTTTTCTTCATAGTTGTCTTCCTGCAACAACTCAACCTCCCTCCTGCACACGCATCAGTCTTTGACATACAAGTCCCCATAGCATAAATATCTCTGCCTCAGATCACTGTCACACCACACACGCCACCATTCCAACACCTATCTCAAGTAGAAAAAGTCACAAAACATATAGAGATTAATCAAACAAAACTCAACAACACTGAAAGGAGGAAAATATTTGCTGCCTAAAGCAACCTCAAATTTTATTTGTTCAAGGTTGGAGGCAGAAGTTATATCTTTTTGTCTTGTTATAATTAATGCAATCTTTTTATTCTCAAAATAAATATTGATTACTAAATATATTAATTATTATAATTTATTAATCATTACAATTTGTACAGAATATATTTTAGCTAAAATCATTTTAGTAAAATGTAAGAGTATAATATAAAAAATACAATGGGTTTTTCTATTATACACTTCTTCAATCATAAATTATCATATATATTTTGTTAATTTTATGATAATACATTAATTATTATAACTAAAATCATTCTAATAAAATATGAGAGTCTAATTATGAATTGACTGAATAAAAATTGGAATTACTTCCTATTATGTGTTCAATCAATCATAAATTACCATGTGCATTTTATTAATTTTTTAATATCTTAAAAAATAATATTAATGATGATTTTTAATTTATTGACTTTTAAAAATACATAATTATTTTTTTATAACAGAAAAAGTAAAAAAAAATTATTATTTATGCATGTATATTAAATTAAAAAATAAAACTAATTGTCCATGCCCATTAAATTAATTAAGAATGCCTATTAATTTAAATAATAATTATGTACATAAAAATTTGAATACAATAACTTCCTCTCATAATCGTTATTCGAATAACAGTATAACATTCCCATGTCATCAGGAATCAGGATCGGTTTAACATGAGAAATTAAAATAACTTACACATCTATTTTAAGTAATGTTTCCTTTTTTTTATGGTATGAAATAAATTCAAATGAAAAAAATAAAATAAAAATTGATATTATTTTAATAAATTGAAAGAAAGTAAAAATGATAAAAAATAATATAATTTTATTGTTATTGCTAAGTTCATTTATTATTATTTATTTATTTATTTTATAATTATTTTCTACTCTTATAATAGAAAAAAAAATACTATAACATCATTATTATCTAGACAAACAATACATTTTTCCTATCTTTACTTTTATTTTATATAGAATATTTTTTCCATCATTCAACTAATAAAAATGATTATTGGACAACTCAAATGTCATTAGAAAACCCAAAATAAAATTATATAACACTATTAAATGTTATTTTGGATCACCCTTTCAATTAAACGTTATGCACTCTTACTTTTCTTCCTCCTTTCTTTTTTGAATTAAAGAAAAAAAAATTCACTCTATATATATATATATATAAACAAAAATTGTCATTATATTTTTGAATTAGAAACAAATCCAATAATCCAAAACGAAATCGATGAAAAAGAAAATTCATAGAAACACAGATAGTCGTTCAAATTTGGCAACAGGAAGGAACAAAATCGGTGGCACAGGTTGAGAGGGAGGGTCCACGTAAGTGAGGCATAGGCCACGTGGGTGGAAATAATTGGCGTAAAGTCTTAAAAACCGGCGCAGACATTTGTGTGGTTGTGGGTGTTGTACATTTGGCGTTTATCAAAACCATACTATTTTCCAATTATTTACGAAATATACCTGTTTTTAAATAGGTATTAATTTGATTCTCTAAAAATCAATTTTTTAGCTTTTTTAGTTCGTTGGAAAATGGATTGGAAAATTTTGTGTTAGTCATGTTAATTAAATTAGTAAGTTAACATTTCTTCTACCCACCATTATTTTTTATTAACTTTATATTAATAAAATAGTATTAATTGATTCGTTGAGTGGAAATTGAAATAATACAGTGACTAATTTAATAAATTACATTTATTTAATATATTTTAAAAGAATTTTCCATTTTACTTATATTAAAATAATTTATTTAAAATTACCTCTTTATTCTAATTTTTGCTACATAATTTTTTATTTTTCTTCTTATACTGTATTTCATATTATAGCATTCATCAAATTTTATTTGCATTATTACTTTTTCTTGTTATAAAAAACAGTCTTTTAGTTCAAAGATTAGTATTCTAACCATATACGTTAACTTCACCGAAGTCATTTTTTTTAGAGTGCAAATAGTGTTGGTTCTCTCTTCCGTTGATCCTTCTCCAAATATCAAACAAATAGTACATTTATCATAAAAATAATTATAAATAAATAAAATTTATTAGATGAATGATTATATTTTAAAAAATAATTATTATTTATACAATGGTTCAATTATCATACTTTTTTTATCAACCTACTTATTTTTTAAATTTTTTAAATTAATCGTAAACCTATTTTAATATCCAAAGACTTGTAACTTATCATAATTTCTTAATCTATTTATTTTTAATTTGTTTAAGTTGAAATTTAGTTAAGGATTTTTTTAAAATCCATATTATTTGCGTAAGGTAAAATAAAATAAAACTAGATTTCCTTGAAAAAAGGTTCTGATATAGATATATTTTTAATTATACTTATAATATATTATACTCATAAAAATTACTCATATAATATATTAATAAATTTATGTATAATGTCATTTCGAAATATAATTATAATAAAATCAAAATTTTAATAATAAATCTATAATTTTTTTAATAATAATATATTTAAATCAACAATGCAAAAAAATACATTTTTTATAAATTTAATAAACTTTATAATTTATTAATTTTATTATAACATTAAAATTGTTATTTATGCAAGACACCTACGACTGTTAATTTTAAAATTTTCATTGTATCATATAACATGTTATGATTATGATGGAAGACAACGAGATGATGGGTGTTTTAATTGTGGTTCACACAATGAGGTTTTTAATATTTTATAATGGTAAAGTAGGCTGTATTAATACCTTTTCTTTTTCAAAATTTACATGTAGTTGACTTTTTATTCCATTTAATAACTCCTCTTAAATGTTTCAAATATATTATATTATCTAGTCTAATAAATAATAGAGTTAAGAGTTACGAAAAAAAATTAATGTTATGAACAGTTAGGTCGAGTATTAACTCAATGATATATCTATCATTAAATCATTTTCTTTTCTTTCTTTTTTAGTTAGTTTTCAAGTATTAATAAATAAATAAATACTTTTTAAAAATGATTTTATATTTTTATATTTATTTTGTATTTTAAATTTTTAAAATAAAGAATAATTATAAAAAATAATGTTATTTATAAGAATTTATTTAAATTTTAATATTAAATTAAAACTTCTACGCATTTAAAAACAAAATTCACAAATGTTCATTTTAAGATTTAGCTTTTTAATTGATAGAGTTATCATAATTAATAGTATTTAATTAATTTAAATATAATTATTGTAAAGACTCAATTCAAGTGTGGTAAGAATAGGAGTGGTTTAATGGAGTAAAATTTAATTTTTTTCTTAAAATAAGTTATAAATAAATAAAATTTAGTTATTCAATTTTCAATGTTACAAAATCATTATATCTCTATAATTTTTTCTAACTTTTTCACTCATTCTCTCGACTTTTTCTAGATCCAAATATGTTTTAGTGCTTAAGTGAAAATCTCTTATTTTAAAGGCTTAAGAATAATGAAATTTGAAGAGATTTTATATGAATTTGTATATTTCTCTACGCAGAGGAAAGTTTTAAATTGAACACTATGTGTATGTAAATTATATACACTATGATATGTATATTTTTTGTTATTGTATTTATGACATCAAAGTAGGTTGTGTCTTAGATGGACCAAGGGAATTGGATTTTTTATGTGAGTTGTGTGTTTGTTTGACTATAAATTTGTTGTTTGTGCAATGGTTTAAGGAAATTTGAGTTAAAATTAATCTAATTTTTGTTTCCTAATTAATTTATTTTTATTATCTAGGATAATACCTAAACTCTTTACCCCTCCTCCTCACCCTTTTCGGATGAGTTAGATAGTTAGGGCCATATAATTGATGGATAGTACCCTTCACTAATAGGGCATGACTATGGCCTAATAACACCAAGCTACCATGCATCAGTTGGAGACGGCCAAAGTAGCAATCACTTTTTCTAGTCATCTTTCGAAATAAATGGGATTAACTGAGTTTATGAGACATGGACATCCTAAATTCAATGACAACTCCACCCCTGACCAAGCTAGCATATCACTGGATTAGGGAGTTGGGAAAGTCTTCAGGGTGACTTCTTCTCCTAAGGACAATAAGCTTACATTTGTTATATACCTACTGGTTGGAGTGATATAGTTTTAGTGGATGAGTATACAATAAATGATGGAGGCTAAGTTTGAGGTTTTGGACTAGGAAAGCTTCAGGATGAGGTTCTTGGAGAAATACTTTCTTAATGCGGTCAGGTCTCCAAAAGTAATGGAGGACCATCTAGGGAACAACTTAGTGGGCCTCTAATTAGAGCCCATGGCTAAGAGGATTGAAGGGGAATAAATTCCTTAGCTTTATAAAAAATGTATAAAATTGTAATATTTCTTTTCTTTACAAACACAGGTCATATTCAAGGTAAGTCAACATGGAGTTATTTGCATGATATGGAGACATTGAAAGTTCTTCCTCAAAGTCCACCTCCACCTCTTGGTTACAACATTTGGGAGAATTTTTGTTTATAAACATTAAAATGTAAATTAAAATGTGTTATGTGACACTTGAAGGAGGGTATGTGAAAATTTGTATAGAAGGGAGAATTAGTTCCACATCCTGTTAAGTGGTAAAAATTTGATATAATTATGCCTTGAATTGTTATGAAACCACTTAACTTATGTTAATTCTAATATATTTTTCTCCCAATATAGGATGAATTCGAGAATACCTTAATATAAGAGTAAGGAGTATAATTGTGAACTAATTGAAGAAAAATTGAAAGAAATAAGAACGCTTAAGCGAATGAATGATG